AGGAATGTGCAATGGGATTTGATCATCTGCTAGAAATCAGTAGCTTCTGTAAAATGTGGGAGTGAAATACTATGTTTTAGTTTTTTTTACTGTGCAGGTGTCTTTCCTTTTCTTCCTCCCACACATTCCTGAAGAACATAGGAAGAGTACTGCAGTTTGAGTAGCTGGGCTTAAGTAGTTCTTAGTGCAGAGAAATCTGCTTTTCTTTCTACTTCAACATTGGTGACTGTAAACATACATTAAAACTGTAAGCTAAGAAGTTCATTGTCTTACTGTGCAATTAAGGTAAATCTGTGTTCTTCCTGGCGCAATATGAACAACAAAAATAATCTTACAGGCTGCTTTATGCACTTAGAGAATTGACCCTCATGCCACTGATTGCAAGGTAAATGGTACTTCTCACTTTTTGGTGGCCGCATCTCTCCCTAGGCTTAGTCCTCTGTCTGACATCGAGTTATGCTGAAGAATAAGCAACTAAGCCATTGAACAACAGAGTTAGTGTATTTTTGGCTATCTTAGAATGCAAGCTTGGTAAATTAGTTACCTATGCCATTTTGTCTTCTACAGATAGCACTGTTTGGTTTGTTTTGTTTCTGTGTTGGTAGCATTAAGAAACAGTGCTTGCCTCTGTCTGTACTGTGGGACCTGCTGGTAGTTTCCACCTGCTGAATCCAGCTATATGTCCTAGTCACATTATTTTGGGAAGGAAGTTCAGCCCTTGTCATTTCTCCTGGTACACTGGGAAAGGAGAGCAAGGTGTATGGACCAGAAGAAGGTTGCAGCTACTCCCAAGGGATGACTTCTCCTGCTTGGACAGCACAACAGCCTTGTCATGGTCATGAAGTTTTTGTCCCCAAAATAAATAAAACTAATCACTTCTGAAGTTTGCCTAGATACCCTTCTGGTTTCTGCCAAGACATTAACTTGCCTTTTGAGGAATCTGTCCTTACTGATGAGCAAATGAATTCATTTTGCAAGGTTTTCTAGTTGCTGGAACATTTATTTCACTGTGAGCTATATTGAATGGAGCCACACGTGTATATACAGTGTTGCATTCTCTTCTCTGTAGTACCAATCTAAGTATTTTGCAGGGACAAACACTGCATTAGGTAGACCTCATTTTAGAAAAGGATTTTTCTAAATTCACAGAAACTTGTTACCTTTGTCATTTATGGAAGTAAATTACGCAAACCCATGAAAAATGTAAAAACTTGGAATTCTTAGGTACTGCCACATTTTGCCTAGTAATGAAGGATGAGACTGTCACACACCTGAACAAATTTTACATGTGTATTTGAATTCTACTTCTCTCAGGAAAATGCTTAAACAATGAGATCCCGTATGACTGGGATTTTTTGGCATGCCCAAGTTATGGACTGCAATTTAAAGTTTTGCCAGAATAATGTGTTATAATGTGCAACATCATCCCATTAACAGGAGAAAATTGTGATTTTGCAGTCAATTTCTTTCATGAGTCTATTTAATTTCATCTGGGGAATCGGTTTAAATATACCTACAAAATAATTAACTTTTTGGAGTAAGAAAACAGTAAGATCACAAAAACGTTATATAAAGTACTTCTGTACTTTTCATTCAGGTAATATGTAAAATGTAGGCACGTATGATACCAGTTCTGCTACATGTAACTGTATACTGCAACCTATGTCAGTTTTCAGAAACCTCTGATACAATCTTAAAAAAGCAACCTCCAAGTAAATTTTGGGATTATTTTGTATAAACTGTGCTAAGTGTACTTGTAAAGAGAAAAGATACTGTAATTATAGCAGACACTGTAATTGCAGTGGTTCCAGAAAGCCTATATCATCAACACAAGAGAAAATTAGGGAAGCTTCTTAAATGACCAAATTATGTTTAACTCATATATATGTTCAAGGCTCATAAAGATTTGGGCACTTCTCTTTCTTTAGGGACTTGAACAGCAAAGAGTCAGGTTATAAAATTTCTGGATTCCTTAGGCATAGGTTCTTATGAAGCTAGATGCAGGAAACACTGTTCTTGTCATGCTGGACATGGCGGGGGCTGTGTGTGTGTGTGTGTGTGTGTGTGATGGGCTGTTGAAACTACACTGCCGATATCAATTTAAAAGGGAATTCCAGTATGTTTGCCAAGATCTTTTTTTATATACCATAATAACAAGAGTGGTTGAAGCTGCCATTGATCAAACTGACGTTGATCGTCAATGCAGTCAGCCTTGGAGTTCTGAGGTGAGGAATGGATGGCGTTGCTGGAATACTTAACTAAAAAAGTTAATAGAAATACTAATAAAGTAATAAACAAGTGGATGTTGTTCAGCACAAAATAGAGCAAAACAGTGGAAAGCACTGCAACAGAAATATCTTTTAGCAATTGATATTCTTTTTACTCCCATCTTTATCAAGTTGCCTTTTCTCGCTCTCAGGAAACTAATGGATATAGGTAGGAATAGTGTTTTATTCCCTCTTTTTCTTTCTAAATTAAGTCCCACTCTTTGAACTTGCTTCTTCATTTCTGTTCCTCATGCTTTCTCAAGCAGTGCTATCAGGGAACTTCCTTGCACTCTTTTAAAAACGTTCCTGAAGACCAACCGGTTCTGTGAACTGTTTTAGTCATAAAGAACACACCCCATATATGTTTGTTCTGATTTATCTTGCTCTGTACTGCTCTACTTTTGTACTTTGCACTTGAAACTGGGGCAGGGAATATTTGTTGTATCAATACATAAATGATAGAAGACTGGCAAGTAGAGGGTTTTTTTCCCTTTTTTAAAGTAGAAAATGTGTACATAATGTGTATCAAAATGTGTGGCCATAGAAGTTATTCCTGTTCTTAGGCATAACACAAAGGATACTTAAAATTTTCTACATTGGGGAAATAGAGACATTTTAAAATCATGTATTATTTTGTACATATTTTTCTCCTTTCTCTACAAGAAGCAAAAGACATTTTATGGAACCAACCAATATAACATATTACATACAGCAGCTGTTATTCTTCTATTGTTATAGTTAAAAAGCAAAAAGTACAAAATGTTATATCTTGGTTTATGGAAATTACAGTAACTATATAGAAATACCCTATGGAAATAAGCTAGTAAATCAACTCAAGGTTAAACAGGCAAAGAATATTCAAATTACAAGATATTTGGATCTTAGAGTTACTATGATTTAACCCATATGGCTGTACTTCTACTCTGCTTAATTGTTTTAGATGTTCTTATGTATTGATGAAATTTTTCAACTTTCAACCATGAATTAAGTCATTAGGCCATTTAGGGTGAACTTACCTATACCATAATGTATAAAATATATAATATTCCCCTTTTTTAAGTTAGGACATTTACCTGGATATTAAATATCTTCAACATTTGCTGATCACAAATGCCTTCATTTTTTTTGTGCTAAATTTAAAGGTGAATCACAGACAAATGTGTTTCTCACATGGACTTCAATTTTTCTGGTGAAGGCTAACTATCTGTACTTGCAAATTTGACAAGTGGATGGCTGCCTGCAGTAACTTACATCCTGTGTTAAACCAGGCACAAAAATCAAGAGAAATAAGTAATCTAGAACGTAGATAAAGTCTTCTTTCAAATTCAAGGGATCTATATTAATAGATATTGGTGTTGCATATCAGTGAGGATGTCACACTCCTGTTACTTCACAATATGACATTTTCTGTTGTTTGTTAGAATATTTTAGAAATTAAAAAGAGGAAGAAATACGTGTAGTTAAATCTCAAAAATGTAAAGAAAAAGCAAAGGAAATAAAACAAATGTATTTGTCTTGTTGCAGAAATTTTAATCTCTGGTCTCAGTTTAGTCCCTTCCAAGAATAGGCAAATTTGACCTTGGCTAGATATAAAAGATCAAGAAAAAGTATTATTAAATCTAACTTCTTGTTTTTCCAAATAAAGATTTTCCCATTAATTTTTCTGTAACTTCTCTCATACACAGCTTGTGTTACTTGCTGGGGGTTTTTGTTAGTTTGTTTTCATGGAAGAATTAGGATTCAAAGAGTCATGTACCCTTGTCCTTAAAATTTTCGAGAAAACCAAAATTTTAATTTTCTTATCCTCAGCTTTCTTGTTGCATTGACAAATTCCAAATGACCAATGGGAGAAAACTCTACATGGTACTCTTCCAAGCTTCCTTTTGCTATTTTCTTTGCAAATGCAGGTTATAACACTTTGTAAGTATGGTCATAGGTGTGACTTACTGAATCACCATCGAATTAGAACTTCACAGGTGGTAGAATAAGAGCTGGTCAGAATTTTATTAACCTGGAAAGTTAGGAGCTTAGATCTCCTAGCAGTGTAGTCTAAAGAATTTTCAATGGAGAAACATATATTGTGGTCTCACCTGAAGAGATACCACATAATATCAAAGAACTGGTAATAAAACTGACCTGTTTGAAAATAAATTTTACAGGCACGTTGAATGTACTGGGTTTTAGCAAGTAAGTGGTGTGCTTCTGTCAGTGACAATGGTGAAAGGGCCTATATTAAAATCTCAAATTGTATGCATGCTTCATTGGTGAAGAAAATGTGGAGCTCTTGGTTGAACAAGTTTTCTTGCAATACCAACAAATGGCAACTTGTTTTGTAATGCAGGCCATCTGAGTCTCACAAGAAACTAAACTGTTCTAAAACATTCTTATAAACAGACTGGCCTCCTGTAGGTGCAGCTCTACTGCTTTGGGCACCCAGCTGTTACACCTGCCTGGGGTTTCATTGGGTTTTACAGGAAGAGAATGTTGTCTGGTGTTAGCCTGAGTACCTCCACACAGTGCTGTACGTCTTGGACAGACAACTTAAAGGACCTACCACACACATTTACTGGCTACTACATACGCAGTTACAAGGTTATTGTTTCAATAGCTGTGCTTATCAATCCAAGAAGTCATGTTCCGTCATATGGCACAATCTGTACAAGCCAAGGGCTGTTAAGTGTATTCCAGCATCAAATACTGAAGTACGAACATGCAAAAGGAAATAATGCTTACCAAGTTAATTTGTATAGTGCTTTCCCAGTCCTTCTCATTGTTCACTCCAGCATTATTAACCACAATATCCAGCCTTCCAAAATGCTCAATTACTTTTTTGAAGGCACCTATAGTAAGATCCAAGGGTGAAATGTCTTAGCACTTGTGGAAAGTAAGATATAAAAATGCAATGCATGCATACGAATTAATATTTTATTAGTCTACCAAAAGGTCTTCACTTTTTTCTTAGCCACTAATGAGCAACATGCAATTAAAATTTTTATCTAACCATTCAGCAATATTAAACATATTCAGGAAAACTGAAAGGAATATGTTACCATAGTAGCCATTCAGTTTCATAATGCCTGACAAAATGATCTAATGAAAGTTCTTAGCATCGATACATTTTGTTTTAGATAGGATGTATGGCACCCTAATTATATAAATTAAGCATTTACAGCTTGATTTGTATCAGTTTGATATAGCTAGTGAATTCAAGATTTGGCACTATCTATTTTAAAGCAAAAATAGACGCTTCATGTGTTCAGAACAATTTTCTTTGTTGTGAATTTAACATAAGAATGCAATTCTTATTCAGTGATATAACTAATGTGAATGTTTTAACTACAAATAATTCATCATAGTTCTTGTCTATCCGTTTAGGAATCAATTTTTATACATCCCACTTGTCAGGTAACCTTAACAATGTGATTCTCAAATTCGAATCTTCTTCCTTCTGTTGTTGAAAATAATGGCCTATCTCCCAAAGAATTTCAAAATAAAGTACTGGGAAACTTCCACAAAGACATTGTGTTCTCCCAGATGACAACGTTCGAACTAAGATAAAACACGTGTATGGAAAAACGTGATGTCATAGTAATGAATGAACTCATCTAGGCTGGCTCTTCTTTGACAGGATAGTTGGATGAGATGACCGCCAGATGTTCATTCCAGACTAAAATTTTCCATGACTGTAGACATTATCTGACATGTATATAGGTGTTTGTTTTCCCTCCAAATATTGTTCCCCGTCACTAAATATTTATTATTATGTAAACCAAGACACCGCTCCCCCAATATTGTTTTAAAAACCATCATTTGGTGACTGAATACAAATCTGGAGTATTTCAGGTGTGCTGAAATTAAGCTTGACAGGCCTTAATGAAAGCACTTCACTAAAAGGTGATCCCACGACCATCTTAGTTCTCTGATCATTAGTCTTTGGCTATTAGTGTCAGTCAGGAGCATAGCAGCAGCTTTGAGACATCTACCTTTTTTGCAGCAGTTGCTGGGGTTTACAGAGTTTTTTTCTTGCACCAGGTGGTCGATACTGTTACAGGTCTTTCTTTGCCTGAATGCTGCAGGTCCATCACAGTCATCATCTTGTCATCAGAACAAGAGCTGGGCAGCTGATGGGAAAGGTTTTATTTGTCCAACTGCCTTTATTGTACAGATTTTTTGAATATTCTATTCCATACTAGAATATTTTAAAATTGCTAAAGCCTCTATGTTTGGCTGTCTGCCTTTTTGGCTTCTGTTATGTTTGTTGCTAACTCATTCTCTGGCTTCCCAACTTAACTCTTCAGTCACTTCTTACCTTTCCCAGCCTGCTTCAGCAAGGGCAAATGAAAACCTTTGGCTTTATTAAGAGCAGAAATGATTATTCAACTTGGTTTCAGTGAGTAAAATAAATACAGTTTGGGTCTTCAATTAGCTTCCAAATTTTGGAAACTGTCTCCCTGATTCCCTCTTAAGGCTTCTCTAAATAGCATGTCTCATCTTAATAGAATTTTTTGCCTTCAAAAAACCACCATGAATAATAGTACTTTTGCCAATTATTTTTTTGTTAAATTCACAGTCTTGACTAATTGTAATTTTCTAGTTACATAGTGAGACAAGAGCCAAATGTTTTTCAGCTGTTTGCATATCTAGTGTTGAAATAAAGAATTATTACCAAATTTGGAATATTTCTGGTAAAAGTTTACCTGCCTACAGTAATCCCATCTATTACCTATCCACAAAAGAAGAATCTTATTATAAATTCTTAATAAAGTTATCACCCATACACCGGTGTAAACTGACTTGTTCATCCCTTTTCAAACATAGAATAATTCTGTGTTTAGATTGCACACTAGTTAGTGCTTATGGAATCATAAAAATTAAAAGCAGATGCTCATATGAAATATTGAATGAAGAAAAATGAAATATGAAGAGGAGGATCCATTTTAAAGGAGAGGTAAGAAAAACAGCGGAAAATAAGCACAAACACCAGTTATATGTGAGCTTCCTAAATATTCATGGAAAGCAAAAATAAATGTATGGTGATTTTTCAAAAGTGGAACAAGATATAACATTTTTGTGGAAGACTGTATGGAAGAGCCACCAGAGAAAAAAGCAGAGGCAAGACTTGAATGTAGATGAAGTAGGTGATTTCCTACACTTAAGCATTATGTACCTACAGATACCGATTCTAGTACTGTGACTTGTTTCATACTGGAAAGGCTAAAGTTGAAAGAAGAGGAATTTCATTCAGGGACATGACTTTTAACACAAAAAGCTAGTACAGCACTTGACGTATCCACTAAGAGCTTTAAACACCAGGAGTGAAATTAATCTAAGTTTAATACGCGGTGTCTTGCAATTACAAGTGAAAAAATAGGAAAATATAGAGGTAAAAAAACCCCCAACCAACAAAACCACTAAAAAATACTCCAGAAACCCCAAAGGATTCTAAGATTTGATTGCAAATTTATGCAAAAAAACCTGCATCAGGAATAACGCAGTGTCAGAGAAGCAGGAGCAGCAGCCGCCCGTTCTTGCTCTCACTCCTTGTGAGGGCCCATTCCAATCCTATTCTGATTGCTCTTTTGCTACTGACTTGGTTCTAAAAGCTCTCTTGCTGACCTGTGCTGCCCACTGCAGCTCCCAGTGCATGCCCTGGCTCCTGCACTAGCCTGGCACTGAGGAGAGAAGGGACCATGGGAGAGAAAGCACACTGGGCTAATACTCCTGCTGCAGCACATGCTATTCCTACCCCTAGGATGCTTTTTCTTTCTCCTAGGTTACTCGTCCCACAGGGACAAACAGTCAATCATCAACCTAGCTGATAAAAGCTTTGTTTGCTGATTAGAGCAGATCTCAAATTCAAAGTCCAGCATCTGTCTTACAGACAGACAACACAAAGCTTTGGAGTTAGGCATAGTCACGCTAGCTCGGAGCAGTGAGCAATATTGCTGAATTCTGGACTAGCGGCAACGTTTTGTGGAAGAGCCCACAGGGACAAACAGTCAATCATCAACCTAGCTGATAAAAGCTTTGTTTGCTGATTAGAGCAGATCTCAAATTCAAAGTCCAGCATCTGTCTTACAGACAGACAACACAAAGCTTTGGAGTTAGGCATAGTCACGCTAGCTCGGAGCAGTGAGCAATATTGCTGAATTCTGGACTAGCGGCAACGTTTTGTGGAAGAGGAATGGACTTGCTTGATCGCCGCTGTTGAGGAAGCAGCCAGTGAAGTGTAGTGAATAAAAGCAGAACGAAGAACGTTCGCATCTAGCCTGACACCAATGAATCTGGGGAAAGGGCACTGACACGAGTGATGTCAAAATCTGAGTCTGAGTCACTACCTATGAATGCATCTCTTTAATAATGAAACTTTGACAGAGCGATGTGCCTGTTATGAAATATTTTGAGGGATACACCAACACTATGCGATACTCTAAGAACTCAGGACGGAACATGATTTATTCACTAAGTGAAAACACAGATGGAAATCATACAGGAGGGAAGCTCCTTGCCATTCCCTGTGCCTGCGAAACGCGGGTGCGAGTCGTTCTCAGCCTGACACGGTGACCACGCGGTGTGCCATCTTTTGCCAGCTCTTCTGCAGCCGCTGGCGCTGGCAGGGAGCGTGCCCTGGGGAAGCAGCACCACAGCCCAGAGCGGAGCCCATTAACCCTGTGACCGCAGTTGGACTGGGTGAGCTTAGAGGTCTTTTCCAACCTGTGATTCCACGACAGAATGCAGCTTGGAGTCTGTACTGAAGCCTCATAAAAAGCAAGTCCAGGTATATTACTCATAAAATGACAATTATCTTCTGCTGAGGCTCTCGTGCGGGAGTGCCCCGCGCTCGGTGGGGACCATTCCTTTGGCTTTGCCCTGCGGTGTGCCAAGCAGCACGGCGAAATACACGCATGCCGGCGGTAACTTCTCGCTACAAATCCTCGTCGAGCCGCCGTCGGGA